TCTCACAAATTACAAATACTCTTCAAGCTTTAAAAGTTAAGCCATAGGCCTCACAGGTCAGAGTGAGTTTTAAATTATGATTAAATCATTATAAGGGACCCAGTGGCTCAAAATCATAGCAACAAATTTTCTTAACACACATACACACACACACACAGACACACACATCTTGGAAAATTATGTCTTTTGAAAACTGGGAGATATTAGTATATGTTATTTTCAACATGATATGTCTAACTTAAAATGAACTTCTTTACATGATACAAGGCTAAAACTAGTAATTTATAAAATGCAGTAAGGAATAAATGAAGTGGACTATAGAAATATTCTGTTCAGGAGCTGGGAATTTAGCTCAGTGATGCGTGGCCTGCCTTGCAAGCACAAAGATTTGAGTTCGATTCCTGGTACAAAAAAAAAAATTTACTGATTTGGGCCAGGGATTTAGCTCAGGGGCACCATGCCTGCCTCCCAAGCACAAGGTCCCAAGTTCCATCCCCAGTACAAAAAAACCCCACAAAAAACAATTCTGTTCAGGCAAATAATATAATACTTTAGTTACACTGTTTTTTGGGGTTTTTTTTGGTACCAGGGATCAAACTTGAGGCCTTGCGCTTATGAGGCAGGCGACACAACCACTGAGCTAAATCCCTAGGTAGTTACACTTTTAATGTAATTGAAAATATGTCCTGTAACCCCTTCCCCACATCTCTACCCCTGCTCTGTGTTTTCGCCTCTCTTTTTCTGTGTATGTCTTCTATCAAGTTTTGTCTCCACAATGAAGAAACACCAGTAGTGATTTCCCAGCAGTTTGACAGAAACTAAATTATCAGATCTTAGGAGTTTCTTCAATTACCTATCTGTTTATATATTTATTTGCCGGTTTTATTATTGTGTTTAAACTTCAAAGAGAGGCAATAGTAAGCCTATTCATTTTTACACTTTATCTTAGCCAAGAGGCTGAGAAGCGATAAGCCTATTCATTTTTAATGTATCTACTAAATAACTATCTGACGAAATAAATGTTTTTCACTCTTGACTGTTCTGGCACAACTTATTGTTTTATTGTAAAGTACATGAAAGAACGCTGGAAAAATTAGTTGTTTAACCTAATAGTACTGCTTTGAAAATTCTACATCCTTCTAAGTTGCACTGAAAATCTCAAGTTATGGTTTAACTTTTTTAATAAGAATGGATTACACTTTAAAAATAATGCCAGATACATATTTAAAGGAAGGAATCCTAATAGCAAGTAAGTATATATTTTTAGCATTGCTTTTGCTTACTTGTATATATTATATAATGACAGTTATTCAAGCACGCTATTTTTTTCTACAAAAAGCTTACATTCATTTTGCTTGGCAAAATAACAGAAAGTACTTTAAACTTCAACTGATTTAACTAAGTGGGACCATCAATTATCTGAACGTTTTTGCTGCAAAGTTTTTAGAATAAGGCACATTATAAAAGGTATTATCCTATGTTTCTTCCAAAATATAACTTTGGGGTTATTTACTGAGCTAGTATGAAATCAGTGCCATCTCTTCTATTTTTCTGGGTATTTAAGCTATACAATGAGAATTGATTTTCTGAGCGATAGCCCTGAAACCTATCAGGAGTCTCACTTATCAAAGAAAAATTCAATTATGTTCTTATATTGCACTTACCAATGAGCAAAAAGTAAGGGAATATACTTTAAAACTCCTCAAGAAAACTTGCAATAACCTTCAGATTAACACACCTGGACAATTTAGATCACCCATTCCCCAGCAGTCTGTGCAACAGGAATTTATGGTATAACAATATTTCAGTGTTTAGGAGTATTCATGGATCTAGTCCTAATGATCTCTGCATTTATTATATAGTCAGATGAGGTTCTTAATTAAAATTTTGTGCTAAGTTTAGGTGTGGTGGCCCATGCCTGTAATCCCAGGACTTGGGAGGCTGAAGCAGGAGGATTGCTGAGTTTGAGGCCAGCCTGGGCTACATAGTGAGTTCTATAGTGAGAACTATACAGTGAGACTCTGTCTCAAAAAACAAAAAAACAAAGTTTGTGTTAGGAGATTATACATGTGGTATTTCAGTCACCAATTGTGCTGAATAAAATGAAAGGATGTGTATGAAACTGAAGTAGTAAACTTCCCCAGGAGACTGTTTATCTTTTCAGATTGCAGCTGTTTTGGAACAGAGGTTTAAGGCTAGATGTGTGCCTGCACCAGAGGATTCAAAGGATTCCTGCTAATCCTGACATCCTGTGATCTGTGGAATGATGAGAGTCAACTGGACAGACCTCAAGACTTTTTCCTCCCCAGTGTGTGTTCTGCACAAAAGGTGAAGTAATAAAAGGCATGTAAATGCAAAATACCACCAAAAGGAAAGAATTACAGTAAGACAATAAAACATCTCACATAAAGTTTAATTATTCTTAGTATCCAGGCAAGAGAAATATGGAAAAGGAGATGTCTTTCTTAAAGTGAACTGTTAATTTTTGCTTTATCAAACAAGAGCTTGCAAAAGTAATTTCATCTGCCATTAAAAAAAAAAAAAAGCCCTCATACTGTGTTATCTCCCTAGCCCAGTGATGGTAAACGTCTTAGAGACAAGTCCCCAAACTGCAACTCAAAACCCACTTATTTATTGCAATGTATCAACACTGCACCTGAATATTGAGGTTTTAGTTTAGAAAAAACATCTTTTGACTTAAAAGAAAAACAACATGCTTGCCATAGGTTTGCTGCCACTGCCCTAACCTAATACAGTTTTAAGAACAAACTATCCAAAGCAACATGGTGGATTAAAAAGAGGAACAATGAATCAAAGTCCTACTGCCTTCTCAATCTGTTCATTAGCAGAGTAGTGTGCCCATGATGTCTGACATCATGGTTGTTCCCAAGCTGACAAAAACCCATTATTGAGCTCTGATAAATGTATCAAGATGTTGAGAACCACAGAAGAAATTGAGTAACTTACTACTGTTAGGCCTAAGTTCTGTTCTTCTGTACTATAGTGAAAAAATAATCATTGGTCTTTTATAGTAAAATTACTATGCTAGGAACCAAAAGTTCCTAAAATCTTCCATATTGCAAAGTGCTGCCTTTTCAGTTAAAGGCTGTAAATTGGGCCACGCTCTTCCTGAGCCTTCCCACTCCTGCATGGTCAGAGCCCTGTCATCATTCAAAATTCCTTCAAGAAGCCTTCCCTGACCAACACCCTCACTATCTTTTTCATTTGTTCCCCAGATTCTGCTTTTTCTCAGGCTACACAGGCTTCCTCTGTGGTATTTTGTCATCTCCCCCATTTTTTTGTGTGCATGTGACCTCTTTTAGACTGTGAATCCCTTTAAGAACACAGCCTGGATTTAATATTACTCATGTCTGCATCTCCACAACCTCCCATATGCTTCACATCTACTGGCCATTCAGTCAATATTTCTAATATAAATGAATATGGGAATGACAACATTATGATAATTAGAGCAGTAAGTGAGACATAATCTTTCATCTGAGACAAACACATGAGAAATAGGAGCCAAAAAATTCTCTAGGCTGATGCATTCTCATCCTCTGTGTAATGGTGCAGGCTTCTGACAAAACTTGAAATAAGGTCCAGGCAGAGACTTTGGATTAGCTTTTATTCATTCAATAAGTAGGCACACCTGCGAGAATTCAGGGACACACAGCATGAGGTCTTTATAGTGCAAAACACTTTATGAAATCTAAAGAAAAATCAGTAGTACTCGAAGATTTCTACTAATAGCCATCTGCCCTGAAAAAAAAAAATTGTTTGTATGGGTGGTGTGGTGAGAGTTGTGCCCTAGGGTCAGAGAGTGGAACCTCAGAATTAGTGTCAAATTAGTTACCTCAAATTTCACCTCACTCATCCTTTCAAGGCAACGGTCTATTTCTATCCAGTCTCCCGTCTTAGACATGATCCATCGTCCACGTGCTCTGCTTCCTTCACATGCCCATATTCAATGGGTAAAAAACATCTTGTCCATTTTATTCAAGAAACAACCTTCTTCCTAGGTCTTCTGATCTATCAGCAGCTCCCTTTTGGAACAATTGAAAAAGCATCCGATTTCACTCTCCTGTCACTGTAGGTCCTCCCTATGTTGAAAGAAGCTTCTTTCTCAAATCAATTAAATAAAAAGAAAATCACAAATACCTTCCTCACATCTTTTCCAGTTTTTCTCTCCTTTTTTCCTTCCTTCCTTTTTGCTGTGGCTGCTGTTTCTTTTTCTGCTATTTTTGAAGTAATTCTTGCTAAATAAAAGAATTTTAAACCTCCCAGATTTACATGTGACTTTTTAAAAATTGGCTCCAATAATTTTCAGCTTCACATGCTACTACTAAAATTTACGTACACATTTCTTTTTTTTTTTCTTTATTTTGGTACCGGGGATCAAACTCAGGTCCTTGCGCTTGCGAGGCAGGCAGCAGAACCACTGAGCTAAATCCCCGGCCCAAGGTGCACATTTCTTTTTGGATGTAATGTCTCACCTTCCTTTTGCTTTTGTACAATGAATTCTTTTGTCTAGAGTGACTTTCACTACTTTTCACCCAGAATATATTCATCCTTCAACACCCAGCTTGCCTCCCCCTTAGAGAAACAGCCTTTGTTCTATTAGTAGTACTAAATGTAACATTCCAAATAGGTCTTTGTAAAGTATTTATCTTTAATATTGTGATTTACCCACCTATCCCTTTCCAGAATGGGAGATCCTCAAAGGCACACACCAGGTCTGATATATCTGAACTACTGAGCACATAGTATGATATTTGCCATGAAAGAAATAAACCATCAGTTTCAGGAATAAGTAAAGATACATAGAGTATAATGAATAAAATCAATTTTAATATGTTTTATAGGACGACTTGAAAAAGTTTTCATACCCCGTGTTAAGTAGGTTTTGAAGGGCTGGCCTTGGAACCTAACAGCCTTGAGTAACTCTGTTTCTATGGGAATAGGCATTCTAAGTTCCAAACAGCACACATACAAAAGAATTTGCTGCCTTAATACTCCATGGGGCTCAGTGGCTGGTGATGAGGCTAGAGGCAGCCCCAAGACAAGGGAGTAGCTGCACCTTTCTGAATGGTGAATGAGTCTGTGGAACCCACCAAGTCCTGCAGAGCAGCCAGGCCATCAACACAAAACAGCTAAACTAGCCAGTGAACCACCCAATGCTAATGTTTTCAGCCCATCTGGCCTTTCTAAGTGCATGCCATGCTGATCACTGCGTACTGTGTGCAGAGGGACCTCTCTGAGGAAACCTTCTCCCTCCAGGTAAGCCCTGACTTTGAGCTCTGCAACTTCAAGGTCCTCTGTGAACTGGAGTCCAGGGTTCCTGCTGAAGAGATCCAGATTTTCTACATGGAGAGATTCCTCAAAGACAACCACTGTTCCTTGGCCTCCTATGGCCTCAAAGATGGAGATGTTGTTGTTTTACTTCAGAGAGATAACGTAGGACAGACCCCAAACCAGCCTCGGGTTGATTTCAATGGAATTCCCCAGCCTGGAACATCAAGCTCCCAACACCAGCACCAGCACCATCAGCCCCAGCACCAGCAGCAGAAGCAAAAGCAGAAACGTGTTCTGTTAGCCCAGCAGTCCCACGGCTTGGCCTCTGGAGAGAAGACAGCCTCTGCTGCAGGACTGGAGAGTCCTGCCCTAATTCATAGCATGCTTCTTTCCAGTCCCCATGACCTATCCCTGCTGAAGGAACGCAATCCTGTCTTAGCTGAAGCTCTGCTCAGTGGAAACCTTGAGACATTTTCTCAGGTCCTGATGGAGCAGCAACGGGAAATGGCCTTGAGGGAGGAAGAGAGGCTTTCCCTCTATTCTGCTGATCCATTTGATCGAGAGGCTCAGGCTAAAATAGAAGAAGAAATTCGGCAGCAGAACATTGAAGAAAACATGAACATAGCTATGGAAGAGGCTCCTGAGAGTTTTGGACAGGTGGCAATGCTCTATATTAACTGCAAAGTGAATGGATATCCTCTGAAGGCTTTTGTTGACTCAGGTGCCCAGATGACCATTATGAGCCAAGCTTGTGCTGAAGGATGCAACATAATAAAGCTGGTGGACCAACGATGGGCTGGAGTTGCTAAGGGAGTGGGCACTCAGAGGATTATTGGCCATGTTCATCTAGCTCAAATTCAAATTGAAGGTGATTTCTTACAATGCTCCTTCTCTATACTTGAGGAGCAGCCCATGGATATCCTTCTAGGACTAGATATGCTTAGGAGACACCAGTGTTCTATTGATTTGAAGAAAAATGTGCTGGTGATTGGCACCACTGGTACAGAGACTTACTTTCTCCCAGAGGGTGAGTTACCCTCATGTGCCAAGCTGGTAAGTGGTACTGGACAAGAAGAGCCCTCAGGTAAAGAAGATAATAGTAAGTGTTCAGTCAAATATTCAGGGTGAAAAAAGCATTGAAGGAGGTTATAATATGCCACCATCTTGAGGAAGCCTCAGGTTCTGGGAAATTATAAGACATGAGCTCACCAGCAATGCAATCATTAAAAACATCACTAACAACTAAATGTGTCCTTGGGGTTAAGTTCTTAGATGGGTAACATAGCAAGTGATGAGTGCTTAATCTTGATCCCTCCTATTTCCGTTCCTCAGAGATTAGTGACCCTCATTCTGGTAAGGCTCTGGAGAGTCCAGATAGTTTCCAGATAATCAATGAAAGGAAAACCAGCCTCTTCCTTCAGATTTTAGGGTGGTTTGTCCAAGCTAATTGCTATTTCTCAGAATTCTGTGGAAAAAGCCAATGGTGCAGATGTTATAAGGTATCTACAAACTAGTTCACGTTAGCAATGATAACTTTTTATCCAGAGAAATATCTCTATTTTCATAGATTTTGTTTTCTTTAAGAAAGGTATAAGAAATTATAGGTCAATTCTATTCTTGAGTTAATGAATACTTGCAAGGGTTTGGTTTAGTGGTGTAGGAGCCAATTTCTTCAAATTTATATGTTTCCTTCCCCTTGGATTCCCCTGGAATCATGGCTGCTGCAACTCACCCCAAAGGCTAATTCTTTATACATTTTACAGCAGAGTTTTCTCTTTCTATATCCTACAATCATTTTTGGTTTTCTGCACTCAAAGAAAATGTGTTGTAAAACAGGCAATGAATTAGATTTTTTTAAGGTTATGTTTTTAGGTAGCTTATATTTTTATAGTGGTGGGAGTGGGAGGTGGGAGCAGGCAGTGGTCCAGGACCCTAATACATATTTCAACACTTCAATTAAGTCATCTCCTTAAAAAACAGTCTGCTTCAGACAAAGGGCTTCACTGGTAAAATAATATTTGAAAAATTCTGAATAAAGAGATCTCTACAGCCTCATTCGGCTCCATAATCCACTGTGAGAAAGCCACTCTCCATCTCAACTGATACTGGGAAATGGAAGATCCTGAACATAATTATAGCCCTTGTCTAAAATACCTGAGAAAAAAGGTTGAGTGGCCTGGGGCCATTGGATCCAGGGAAAATATTTCAGGAAAATAATTCATCAAGACTGATATTAGAACAGTAGATTCAAAGTCTATATTACTTAGACAAATCACCTACTTTACAACCTGACTCCTCATCTATAAATTGTTTCAGAGGGCAGAGCCACTTCTCAAGTGTTACAACTACATTATGATCTAAAATATTCTTTTAGTTATCCTATTTTCCCACCAAATGTTAAGACTATTGAAACATTGCAAAAGGCGACAGAAAAAAATGATCCTTTTTAAGGAGAGTCACCTGCTTTCTTCCAGTCACCACCTTTTCACCGCCCACCATTCTTCCTTGTAGGTTTTCCCATGGTCACATTCTTCAGTTTTGTCTAAATTTGCACAAAAGCACATCTACTAGAACTGCTACAAGTGCCTCAGTGGACAGATTTCTCTATGTTTAATTTAAACACTCAATATAGACAAAATGAGCAAACAGAAGATATTCAGAGGAAAGTCAGGGATAAGCAAAGTGCCTGTGACTGCAGTATATGGTAATCAGACCTGAGAAATTCATGGATTCTTTCAGATAAAAAGTTTCAAAATCGGGCCGGGGATTTAGCTCAGTGGTTCTGCTACCTACCTTGTAAGTGCAAGGTCCCAAGTTCAATCCCTGGTACCAAAAAAAAAAAAAGGATTCAGAATGCTCAGCATCTTCTTCTGGGTTCAATTTTAAGGCCCATTTGTGCAGAACATACTTATTTGCATATATCACATGAGATTCCTTAACATCAAATAAAAGTTTAGTATGTGGCTTGTCAGGATGTCTGACTCTTACAGCCAGCCTAGACATCTCAGAACCTTTAAGCTAAAAGACAGTTTGCAAAACACCACATCTGACCACAACCACCCTTCTTCTCAGAGGAGAGCCTTCCTGAGATAGCTTCAATGTTTTGGAACAAGTTTCAAGTGTAATTTTTTTAGTTTGAGCTAAAATCTTATATCCTATAACTTTAAATAAATTAATCTTCCTCTGCCAAAATATGTTAATCTTTTCTGGCATGAGTTAATCTATTTCATAAATGAAATCAGTGTAATCTTAAATATTATTTTTTGTAGGCTTTCACAAGATTCTTTAATTGCTCCTTATAACACAAGTTTGAACTCTTCAAAAAATCTGTCATATTCCTTTGGACATATTCCAAGTTATAAAAATATTACTTGAGTGAATGGATGGTTGCATTAAAAATACTATTATTGAACTGAAAAGCAATGAGCTCAAAGAAAAAAATCATTGAACAGTGAATTAATTAAGCAATGTTTTTATTGATTAACTTTTAAAAATCATTGTCTTACAAATTAGAAAGTATTTTTAAAATTAATTTCATGGATTTAAAACATTCATGAAATCCTGTGTACACTTGAAAAGTTCCTAATCAATTAAATTTTAAATGGATCAGTTTGGGGAAAAGACAACATTTTTGCTTGTCTTATACATAAAAGCAGGCATTATAGTAGGTACTTTGCACTTACTGTATTACTGTCATTAATCCTCAGAATAAACCTTCAAAATAGTTATCATTAACCCCATTTTGGGAATGGGGAATTTGAGGGTCAGAATTATTCATAACATTCAAATATCCAAAGGTCAGGATTTTTAAACTTGTTTTGACAATCTAAATTTTACACCTTGATTTAGTTTTATAGACACACATAGTATGCATTTATTTTCCATATATATATATATAAAAACTGAAACAAGATTTTAGAAATAACATCAATGTTTTGTTTGTACTCCATTTCTTTCAGTTTGTTTTTTATTTTGAGGTAGGGTCTCACTATATAGCTCAAGGTGGCCTCAAACTCATGGGTGATCCTTCTGCCTCAGCCTTCTGAGATTATAGATAGGCATGTGCCACTATACCTGACTTCCCAATCAATTTCTTTAAAAAATTATATTTTATTATGTTTGAAATAGCTCAGACACATACCTGCTACATAATTCACAAAACGCGACTCACCCAATAACCTTGGTCAATTAAAATCTTTCTGATTTCAAATGGCAAATTCTTTTCCTTATGTAACCTTTGTACTGGACATATGGACATATTTTAATTCTTAAATAGAAAAGGTATAAATTTTAATGAATTTAATTTTATGTAGACCACCAAAATACTACCAATAGAAATAACAATGAAGTAGCAGTAATTAGAATACATTTAGAAATTATTTATTCAAAGCTCATATAATAAGCATTGAGCCAAGATTTTACAATTACGAAAATGAGTGGCAGGTACCGACCTCAAGATGATTATGACATAATAGGAACAGGTGAAAGCTTGTAAACAACTACAAACAAAAAGAGTAGGCCTGAAATTATCAATATATTGAAACAAAAGAAGAATGTAATTTTTAGGGATTATCTTTAAAATAAGAAGTAAGCAAGCCAGTAAATCCACTTTCAATAGTTCCAAAATGTTTATCACTGATGCTTAAAAAATTACCCTTCTCTTAAAATTCAGGTTTCTATTATACAACTTGCAAATATCTACCATTGGAATTTTACTTCATTTTTATTCCTGTTTAATTTCAAGATAAAGTAGGATACAAGAAAAAATAGACCTAACTTGTTCAAAACAATAAGCTATTGTGTCAGGGATTTAGCTCAGTGTCACCGTCACCGAGCCTGGCTCTCAAGTGCAAGGTCCTGAGTTCAACCCCCAGTACTGCATACAAAACAAAACAAAAAACTCCAATAAGCCAATTTTAAAAACTCCATTGAATTTCTATGTTCACCTACTGGCCATTGAAATAACCATCTTTTCTAAAATGAAACAACTACTGCGATAAGCAAGCATTTCAAGAGAAGAGCAATGCATTCTGCTGCAGATAAATTAGAAGACTGATGTAGTTCAAGTTAATTATAGTAAATGATCTGAACTTCCTTCTTAAAATATCAGATCATAAAATTTCTATTGTTTGTAGGGGAAATTCTACTCCCCAAAGAGAAAAGACAAATAGATCCTTGTATGTATGAATTCATCTTCACCACAGTTACTAAATGTTACGTTAGTTTTAGTTGAGAGGACATCATGCTGCTTTTGGAATGCCAAATATCAGAAGGTTATTTGTTGACATCAACAATTTTGTAAAGAAATCCCTGAGGAAATTCTTAGAGTGGTCTGGGATTCATACCAGGAAACTGTTGGTGAAACTATTAATCAATGCTAATATTCCTAGTTATGCTTTGCAGTTAACAAAATCCTGGAAAAGAAAGAGGGATAAAGTTAAAGATGTACAATATGAGAGAAAGAAGAAGAAGGAGAAGGAGAAAGAGAAGGAGAAGGAGAAGAACAAATCTAGGTGGATTTTAATAGATTATTGGTTTAAGTAGTGTTCTATGGTGATTGAGGAGAGGGCTGAAATTACGGATTAGCTACCATGGATTAGCTATCACTTCACAATACCGTGGTTTATTCTTTGTTGGCAAATTATCTAAAAATGATAACATTTTCATTGATTTCATATTAGAGCTTGATTCCAACTTGCTTTCAAACCCCAGCTTGTTCCCATACTTGGGTCGGTCTGATATCAGAGTTTCTAAAGGGCTGTTAGCAGAAAAAAAAAGGGAGCTACTGTCTTGCTGTACACTCTGAGTTTTCCTCACAGGATGCACTGAGGGGCCTGCTGAGATGGGTACCCACAGATGGCTTAATCTCGTTGGACTGAAGTAAATGTTTTTTAGGATTGCTTCCCTTTTTACATTTTCTTGCTTATTTGCTTTCTTCTTTTTTGGGGGAGGGGCTTTTATGAATCCCATTTTTCTATATTTTTTAATCAGTAAGGCTTATTTTAAGAACATTATTATGCAAAATCACCAGTTAATTTCCTCCTATGTTTAGTCCATGGAGGCAGAGTGACAATGTTTCAGGTGAAGGTGAATGATACATTTTTCTTCTCTTGATTGATGTATGGATGCTATGTCCCAATAAAGAAGACGATGATTATGAACAGAAGCATATTTCAGGTACATAATCATTTAAATTGATCAAATTCCTGTCTTATAACATCAATTACCATTCTGA